ATCGCCTCCGCGGCATGCTCGGTGTGCGGGCTGTACATAAAGCAGCTCATGGCCCTGTGGCGTTTTAACCGCATAGCCGCCCACCAATGTAGGCACAGGGAGACCCCGATTCCAGCGGAGCTGGAAGTGCACAGGTCACATGACATGCACAACCTCGGCGACAGGTGGATGTGCAAAAAGTGCGGAGCGCAACTTAGTAAATTAGGCCGGGGCACTCGAAGCTCACGATGACCCTTTTTAATCAGTGCGAGCCTACCCGCCTAAAAAGGGGCAGATTGCCGCGAGTATGCTTAGCTCATCACTCCCAGCGGCTACCCCCACGGTGGCTCCCAACCCCAAACCGAGCCCCGCAATTGACAGGAAAAGGGTTAAGCCGAAGCCCCAAGCGAAGCCCGAAGCCCAACCTAAGCTCCGGCAGCTGTTTCAGGCTCGAAGCTCGAAACTGGGACACACCCAAAGCACGTCCCCTCCCGAAGCCCAAGCAAGCCCACAGGAAACTCTGCCCAGGACTTCCCCTCAGCCCCTTCACTCCCCTAAGCCCGGAAGAGCCTCAGGTAGTGGTAGTGTAGCTGCCGCAGCTGGTCCTGAGACCAGCGGCCTGCATAGGTTTTTCCGAGCGCGGGATGGGACCTCCCAGCGCTAAGAGCCAGCCGGGAGCTGGCAAAGGCAAGGGCCACGGATGGCCCGAGGAGGAGGCCGAGGAAAAGGGAAAGGAGGAGCAGGCGCTGGCAAGGGCAAGAGTGAAGCCGAGCCCCTCATGACCAGGCCCAGGGCTGGGGAAGGCACCCCCCAGGACAGTGGGTGTCCCCAATAGTGCTCAGCAGTGAGCAAGGCCTTTATCAGGTCACAGGTCACGAAAGGCCGCTAACCCGAACTGCGGCAGGGTCAGCAGGTCTTCATGGGCAAGAAACCTTTCGGCGAAAGGCTGACTCCGCGAGCCGCCCGCGGCCTTCACCGCTGGTGGGAGAGTTCCCCCACCCCCTCCACAGTTTCGGAGGGAGACGGGCCAAGCCGGCCCAGGGCTCCCTGAGGAGCCGAGGCCACAAGACCCACTTTCAAGAAGTGCCCGGCAAGGGCAATGCAATGGCAGAGCCCGTCGACCCTGTAGGTGAGCCGGAGGAGGGGGACACAAAGAGGAGGAGGAGGACGAGACACTCTCCTCGAAGAGCTCCGACGGCACGGAGTCGGAGGCAGAAGTGCCAGCGGTAACGGTGACCCCTTGAAAGCGCCGCACAGCTCGCAAGACCACAGGGAGCAAGACCAACCTGGTCCCAGGCACACCCCTGTCACCGAGGCTCCAATCTCTGGTTCGGTGGAGCCCGCAGGTCGCCATGGAGGCAGGGCTCTTGGATGGGGATGGGCGACGAGGATGTTTCGACATCCCCGGCGGAACCACCCCAACCGGAGCCGTCGGCCACTAGTGGCCCAGGGGATGCACCGACCCGACAAGGGGCGAAGGCTCAGCCGATGCACTCCAGCCGAGGACTGCACGGCTGAGTTCGAACCTCCCCTCGCAACAACCCCTCCACGGAGGCAGGGCACATCACCACGAGGGCATCCAGCTGAGCGGCCATCCGAGGGCCCAGCTCAGGATGCCACAGACTCAGCCGCTGCAGCCAACACCGCAGCCGGCCCACCCAATCCGTTCCCTCCAACGGAATGGATCTACCGGATCGACACGGAATGCCGCTCCGGCAGCAACCTGCAGGTCATCCGCCTTCCGGTGCCAGGACATTCGACAGCAGCGGATGTCTTGGAAAGGCTGCATATGCGCACCGGGTTCAGCCTAGGAGCACTCCGGCTCACGAGGGAGTCGGAACCCCTGCCGCTCCATGAACCCCTTGCCTAAGGGTGCCGGCCGGTACAGCCAAGTTGTACGCCAACACGGCCGAAGGGGTCACACTGAGGCAGGACAGCGCGCCTCCCGTGGTGACCACGGACATGCTCTGGTGTATAGCATGCCGAGTCCGGGTGCCCACCCCGGAACACATGCAGGGGCACCTCATGACTGCATCCCATGTGATTGCAGTCTCGGAATACCTCGAATCTTTCAAGAAGGAGGGCTGAGGTATGAGGTGAGGCAATCTCCCTCTCAGGACGTGTTCACACTCCTGACCCCTGCAAGAGGACGTGTTCGCACTCCTCGATGTGCAGCCCTGTCAGTTTTGCCGTAGAGCCGTAGTTCAGGGCGGGGACGTGTTACACTCCCCAGGACGTGCTTGCACTCCTTAGCACATCCGGGAAGAGCTCGCTCTCCCGTAGGGCGTAGCTCCTTTTTCCGCCTGAGGGCGATGCCCACCCCAAACGGGGTGGAAGATCGTGGGAAACCCACGGTAATTAGTTGCACGCCGGACGAGGCCCACGGGCCGCGGACTCTTCGCCGCTTCAAGGAAAGGAAAAGGAAGCACATCTGGGAAAGAGCATAAGGCAGGCCGAAGGAAAAGGCTACGAGAGTGACAAAGGAAAAGGCAAAGGTGGACAGAATGGACCTGTATGTTTCAATTGTGGTAAGACCGGACATTACTCTTCGGAGTGTTGGTCGGCACCAAAGGGAAAAGGAAAAGGAGGAAAAGGAAAAGTTCGGAATGTCCAAGAGAGACAGGTGAGGAAGAATGGTATGAAGAGCAACCTAGTTCTTCTACACAAGCACAAGCAAGGCCACCACAAGGAGCCAAAGGAAACGAACAAGTGCGTAGGTTGGTGACAACGCCTATGCCAGTGATTGAAGAAGTGTTCGAAGAAGATGATGACTACATTGATCTTGTAGGAACGTTTGAAGAGATGGTGATGGATTATGCTGCACGAGCAGTAAAAGCCAACACAGTTGTGCTATGGTCAAGCATGGCTGACGAAAGTGATGAAGAAGATTATGAAAGGGATGAACTTCACAAGTGGTATGAAGATCTGCAAGTTGACAAGAAGAATGCCAAGAGTGCAAGAGAGCGAGAAAGGCTTTTCGGAAGCGTTCAAGATGAAGAGCCAGAAGTGCATCGAGTAAGAGCCGTTAGCTCAAGCTACTCAGAACTCGTTGAAGTCGTGCTAGATAGTGGCGCGGATTGTCATGTACTTCCGCTATGCTACTACAGTGAAGACTTAGGAACAGTTGAGTTCCCAGCTTTGAGAATGGTTATTCAAGATGCCCAAGGCAACAGGATAAGAACCACTGAGACAAGAGCGAACATCACATTCGAATTTCAAAGGACAGATGGAAGAGTGATAAAGGTGAGAGATTCAGCTGTGTTCGGAGATGTAACACAACCACTATTTGCAGTAGGCAAGTTGTGGAAAGTCGGATGGGGACTTGATCCTCTAGACCAGTTCAATGCTTACTTGAAGAAAGGATCAGCAAGAGTACTTGTGAGGTTTGCAAGAAACTCAACAGTGACAGACCTCAAGATTTACAGAGCTCAAGTGAAGGTTGAAAGTGATGAACCACAAGTGAGAAAGCTCACATTGATCAAGCAGATGGAAGATGATTTCGAGAAGATGAAGTATCATGAAGGATGGTTTTTCATGTCAGATGGGAGGCCAGCAAGGATCGATTATGACAAGTACACAACATATGATCCCACAAATGACGACGTGAAAGCGTTCAAGTTCAGAACTACTTTGGTATCGAGGTACGATGGTGAGAACATCGTATGGAGCGAACTGGAGTTTGTGGAGTGCGCTGAAAAGTGGGAAGACCGAGAAGAGATTGTGATAGATGCAGTTGAAGAGAACTCGGTGATCATCACGATCTTGGAGAGAAAGTCTCTAGGACTTGAAGAGTATGGTGAGTGTGAAAGAACAGTCCCAAAGAAGAAAAAGAAGGAGCAAGAAAAGGAAGTGGAAGCAGCAGTCGTGGAAATGGCGGGTCACAAAGAAGGAAGTGATACAAAGAAGACAATGGAACAAGTCGAGAAGGAAGCAGCAGAAGCTATGGAGAACTTGTTTCCCAGCGACCCACCTGCAGAAGAAGACATGAAAGAGTGGAAGAAAATTGAAGAGCAACTGCCAAGTTTAGGAGAGAAGATGGAAGAAGCGATGATTGTGGCAGGAGTCGAACTCAACTCAGAGAGTACGCTCAAGCAACTGAGAACAGCATGTGAATTCCTGAAGATAGGAAAGACTGGAAGTAAGGCACAAATATGGCAACGGTTGAAACAAGCCGTATGAGCAAACAAGATGAAGGAGTTGGTTGAAATCTCCAAAGGACTGGAACTAGAGTTCACAAGAGAACCAAAAGGAGAAAAGAGACCAGAGATGCCAACTGACGAAGAGAGAAAGAAGCACGAATTGACGCACCTACCAAAAGCTGATTGGTGTGAAAGTTGTCAAGCAACAAGGTCAAGAGAAGATAATTTCGATGTGTCAGAGAAGAAGAATGAAGCATCGCTAGTTTCAATGGATTTCAAGTTCACTGGAACCCGAGATGAAGAGAACACGAAAGACAACAAAGATGCATTGACAATCGGACTGGTGATGGTTGATGAAGCAACAAAGTTCGTACATGTCATTCCAGTAGCGACGAAAGAAGCGACAGCATACGTTGTTGAAGAAGTCTGCAGAGTGCTTATGCTGTTGAATTCTAAAGTCATTTTGAGAACTGACACGGAAGCAGCAATGATTTCGCTGATGAAGAAGGTGCAAGGAATAAGGAAGATGAAGAATCTTGATTCAGAGATACAAGATGTAGCACCAGATGAACACCAAGGATTGCCCGTTTGGGGGAGAGCACTATTTCAACCACCGCACGACAAAAGACGACGTGATCATTAAACTATACATCTACAGATCTGTCTTTCTGTACACTTCTGTCTTCTGGTGATACGTTTTGTGCGTGTCATTCTTGTGCAGGGGTTTGGGCCACTCGCGTTCACAGCACCATCACACCTCCCACGCCACTCAGTAACAATACCGAGGTGGCAAGCAGTCAAATGCAATAACGATGATGCTGAGGATACGACCTGGCTGTGAGCTGTTCCGCGCTCCCCCCTTTGGCATGGCCAAAGCCATCATCAATCCACTTCCGCAGGATCCCTCACGAATGCTCTGTACAGATCGGGCAGTACCTCGAACTCTGTTCGGCCAACCCACTCGCTCTGGAGATATCGCTGCGCTTGGTCTCGGAAGTTGTCATCGACAATCTCCCGCTCATCGGTGTTCTTGATGATGAGAGTTCGCCGTCTACCAGATAAGCATCTGATGTCAATCGGAATCCGTGTTGATGTGGGGTCAAACAACCGGACTTCGAACATGCCATCGTATCAGGACCCAACGGGCTGGATCCAACTGGTAGCTGTCTCGTCTTTCCGTGGCAGGCGGCCGGTGATGAAGCGAGCTTGCAATCCCACCCCAAGAAGCCTGACCTCGTCTCAATTCTCTGACCGTCGGCTGATTGGGAGCTGGCCCCCAGGCTGGATTGATAACAACGAGAGGGTACGGAGGCAAACCTAACATTCTCCGCTGGTTGGCTTCAAAGGCCACTTCCGCCCGATCCAACACCGCGATAGCGTCATCAGCATACTGAGTCATTAGTGGGCTACGCGGCTGGCCGAAGGCCGTACGATTTGGTGCTGGTTCCTGATCTGGTTCTGGGTGTCTCACTGGTTGCCCTACTCTTCGTTGCCTAAGCCTCTCGTCTCTCTCAGCCCTCCGCTCGGTTTCTCTCTCCTCGTCTGACACAGCATCCTCAGCAAAAGGCTCATGAAGCTGATGCGGTACATGTGACACGTGACATGTTATGCTACGGAAACATGCTTTACCAACCCATTTAAACAGTTCCCAAGCGACTACCACGCCAATGACAATCACACTGAAGACGCCCCAATCTATGGCCCCGTCCTGCGGTTTCTGCGTCCCTTGTCCCCGCGCTCCGCACAAGCAACATGCTAACAAGACCACTTGAAGACACTTCAGTTCTTGTGTACTGGGAGTTTTCGCACCGCTCTGTTTTCTGGACATGTTCTCTTCTCTCACGCTCTGTGTCGCTGTGCTGCCAATGGCTTCGTGCCTATATCAGCCCCGTTGTGCACGCCATCGACATGGAAGATTTCATAAAAGTTCATGCTCCATCTTTCTTTCAAGGTCCTAGCTTTGATTCTCAGCGAACGGGTTCTCCACTGCGTGGACTGTCCAGTGAACCCTGCAATTGCCGCCATGTTGTCGTTAAAGACCTGTACCCGAGGTCGCTCCTGCAGCAGCTCACTGATCATACAAGCGTGTGCTTGACCATAATGGCAACCCGTGCAGGTTGCGAGCAACTCTGATTCACAAGAGCTAGCAGTCATGTAAGGTTGTCTAGCCACATGCCAACCTACTGTACAACCCTCAAACTGCATGATACAACACTCGTGTGACCTTGAGGCTTCCGGCGCGAAACTGCTATCAGTGAAGACTTCAATGAGCCCTCTTGAGCTTGCAGTCCGTTGCCATGGATGTGGCTTCTCAGGCTCGCCAGCTTCATACATACACCAAGCCCACGTCGGGCACATCACACAAGTAGGCCAATGTCTGCAGTGCTAGGTCGTACACCTTTCGGGGTGCCTTCGTGATCCATTGAGATAGCTTCGACACCGCAAACGATATGTCGGGTCTACTACGAACCGCTGTCCATAAAAGTTCGCCTAAGATCTTTTGCCCCTTGCGTATGTCGCTGATTTCTTTCTCCGGTTCTTCATCGATTTCACCGGTCCCCGGGGCCATCGGACAGTTGCTGGCCTTGACCCTGCTAAGTTGCTCCTGGTATCTGGCTCCGAGCTCTTTGATGTAAGCGGTTTGCGTAATATGAAGGTTCCGGCCCTCACCCCAATGAAGATCTAAGCCGAGAAACCTCAAAGGCCGAGACGACTCATGACCTACCCATTCGGGTGTCCCGCATTTCCACCGAGCCGTCACTGCGTCCAGAACCCCTTGAACAACCGCTTTTTCACCTCCAATAATCATGTCATCGATGTACACGCCTACCCATCCGAGGATCTTCGCCGGAAGTCCTAAAGGCGTCCAGTCCTGAGGTCCACACCAATCCTGAATCGGCTCCGTTTCCGAAATCAACCACAAGTTCTCATCAGCAAACGACTGCCAAAGTCGTAATTCCCTGTCACCAACGACGATCCGCAAGTCCCTCAAAACCGAGTTTCGATGAAGACCCCAGTCCCTGGGGCTCGTATCTAGCCCATACATCGCCTTATCCACCCTCCACAGGGTGGAAGGTCGAACTAAACCCCGTTGTACGAGAGACCGTGGGGGCGTTAGGACTACCAACTCCTGAACCGAATCCCGGATGTCACCTTGTCCTTCACAGCTCTCTCCGCTCTCGGCTAGCTTTTCTGCAAGCTGTCTAGATCGAGGAAGCAAGTCAGCGTTGAGAAAGGCTGTTCTGACGTCTACCGTGGCTACTTCCTGACCTCTTTTGGCAGAGAAAGCCAATGCTGACCGCAAATGTGTTATGTCCAGTGACGAGGTGAACACGGACTCTTTGTACTCATGCTTGCTCTCATCTCTCGGCGGCCCCATGTTTCCGCATGCCACTACTCTCACCTTGTGCCTGGCATTAGGTGCTTTAATGGAAAAAACAAGCTTCGATGGCAGTATGGTGACGCGAACTCCACGCTCACGCCACTTCCGCACATCCGCCCAAGTGACATTCACCAACGCACCTTTCTCAAGAATAAGCGAGTTCAGCTCATCTTGCGCCGGACCTTCCCAAACCTCCCGTCTGGCCAAGGCCTCCGCTAAACCCACTAATCCCTTCCCCCTAATATTAAATGGTCGGGGGCCCCCCCCCCCCTTTGCCCTAAATAAAAACTCGAGAATGTTTTCATAATTAGGGTCCCGTTGTTATCTCAACTGCCAGAAACACAGGTTCTACAAGTAATTAAATGATGAAAATGATGACGATGAAAATGATGATGACGATTACGGTGATGCTTGTTATGATGAAGATGGCGGTAGTGGTGGTGATGGTAATGATGACGATGATCATGGTCCAGGAAAAGAAGATGATGATGTTGTTGTTGATAGTAGCAGCAGTAGTAGTAGTCGGAGAAATAGCAGTAGTAGTAGTAGTAGTAGTAGTAGTAGTAGTAGTAGTAGTAGTAGTAGTAGTAGTGGTAGCAGTCGCAGCAGTAATTAGCAGCAATCGCAGCGGCAGCAGGAGCAGGAGTAGTAGTGGTATTGTCAATAGCAGGAGTAGAACATCCGCAGCATCGGCGCCAATGGCGTTTGGGCAAAGGGGCATGGGAAAGTGGGAATGGGTGGGTTTTGGTGGGTTTGCGCGGGTTTTCGGCGGGTTTGGTTGTGCTCTTGGCGGTTTTTGGTCATTTCAAATTTCGATTCTGGATGGGGAAAGGGCCCACGGGGACACCGCCAGAATTGGGCCTGCGACCGTGGCCAAACCCCCTAAGGAGGCAGCCGCCCGCCCCCAAAACCATCTGGCCATGGCCTAATGGGTAAACGTCTGCCTCCAAAGCCCTCCTGGGGAAGGTCGTGGGCTCAATCCCCGGGGGTGTCACTTGGGCCCTTTCCCCACCCGGAATCGAGATTTTGGGGTGACCTGAAGCTCTGGGCTCTCTGGAGACTTAAGAAACGCTATTATAAGGGCTGCAAATCGCACCAAATCCGTGCAAATGCACACTAAAACCGTGCAAATGCACACTAAATCCGTGCAAAGACATACGAAATTCGTGCACATGCACACCAAGTTCGTGCTAATACACACGAAATCCATGCAAATACACACTAAATCCGTGCAAATACACACGGAATCCGTGCAAATACACACTAAATCTGTAAACACGCATTAAAAAAGAAGGCTTCAACAAAGGCTTAGCTAATAAAGCTTTGAATGCGGCTTAATTGAGCAGTTGCTGAGTCATGCAATTGTAATCCTTTGGAAGCATCGTGCCCATCCACGTGCTGGTGATGTGACGGCTATGATTGGGAAACGTTCTTTTCCATGCTAGTAAGATTCGTATCTGAGTTTCATCATGAATTGTTGTTCCGACAGTCTGACGGCAGTACTTTGCTTAATATGATGATGAGGAGGATGATGAGGAGGAGGATGAGGATGAGGATGCTTATAATGATAATGATGATGTCGATGTCGAAGGTTTGGAGGACTACTACTACTGCTGCTGCTGCTGCTACTAGTACTACTACTACTGATCCTGCTGCTACTACTACTACTACTTGTACTATTCCTTGTACTACGATGACAACGACTACTTCTACCACCACCACTACCACCAATTACCACTGCCACTAATTACCACTGCTGCTGCTGCTGTTCTTGTTGTCACTACAACAACAACACTACTACTACTACTACTACTACTACCACTGCGATGACTACGACTAATTACTGTTACTTCTCACTAAATCTACTCCTCCTATTACGACGACAACTACGAACTGCTACCACTCCCACAACAATGAGCGAGCGTGCATTGACCGGATGGAAGATGAGACATGGCTGCAATGGCTCAGTAGTAGTAGTAGTAGTAGTAGTAGTAGTAGTAGTAGTAGTAGTAGTAGTGGTAGCAGTCGCAGCAGTAATTAGCAGCAATCGCAGCGGCAGCAGGAGCTGGAGTAGTAGTGGTATTGTCAATAGCAGGAGTAGAACATCCGCAGCATCAGCACCAATAGCATTTGGGCAAAGGGGCATGGGAAAGTGGGAATGGGTGGGTTTTGGTGGGTTTGCGCGGGTTTTCGGCGGGTTTGGTTTTGGTCATTTCAAATTTCGATTCTGGATGGGGAAAGGGCCCACGGGGACACCGCCAGAATTGGGCCTGCGACCGTGCCCAATTTCCCTAGTGAGGCAGCCGCCCGCCCCCAGAACCATCTGGCCATGGCCTAATGGGTAAACGTCTGCCTCCAAAGCCCTCCTCGGGAAGGTCGTGGGCTCAATCCCCGAAGGTGTCATTTGGGCCCTTTCCCCACACGGAATCGAGATTTTGGGGTGGCCTGAAGCTCTGGGCTCTCTGGAGACTTAAGAAACGCTATTATAAGGGCTGCAAATCACACCAAATCCGTGCAAATGCACACTAAAACCGTGCAATAGGGGTAGCAGTTAGCAGTTGTCGTCGTAATAGGAGGAGTGGTTGTTGTTGTTGTAGTGATAACAAGAATAGCAGCAGCAGCAGCAGCAGGAGCAGCAGTGGTAATTAGTGGCAGTGGTAATTGGTGGTGGTGGTGGTGGTGGTGGTAGAAGTAGTCGTCGTCATCGTAGTACAAGGAATAGTACAAGTAGTAGTAGTAGCAGCAGGATCAGTAGTAGTACTAGTAGCAGCAGCAGCAGCAGCAGCAGTAGTAGTAGTAGTAGTAGTAGTAGTAGTAGTCGGAGAAATAGCAGTAGTAGTAGTGGTAGCAGTCGCAGCAGTAGCAGCAATCGCAGCGGCAGCAGGAGCAGGAGTAGTAGTGGTATTGTCACTAACAGGAGTAGAACATCCACAGCATCAGCACCAATAATTAGCATTTGGGCAAAGGGGCATGGGAAAGTGGGAATGGGTGGGTTTTGGTGGGTTTGCGCGGTTTTCGGCGGGTTTGGTTGTGCTCTTGGCGGTTTTTGGTCAATTCAAATTTCGATTCTGGATGGGGAAAGGGCCCACGGGGACACCGCCAGAATTGGGCCTGCGACCGTGGCCAAACCCCCTAAGGAGGCAGCCGCCCGCCCCCAAAACCATCTGGCCATGGCCTAATGGGTAAACGTCTGCCTCCAAAGCCCTCCTCGGGAAGGTCGTGGGCTCAATCCCCGGGGGTGTCATTTGGGCCCTTTCCCCACCCGGAATCGAGATTTTGGGGTGACTTGAAGCTCTGGGCTCTCTGGAGACTTAAGAAACGCTATTATAAGGGCTGCAAATCACACCAAATCCGTGCAAATGCACACTAAAACCGTGCAAATGCACACTAAATCCGTGCAAAGACATACGAAATTCGTGCAAATACACACGAAATGCGTGCAAATACACACCAAATCCATGCAAACACACACTAAATCCGTGCAAATACACGCCGAATCCATGCAAACACACACTAAATCCGTGTAAAGACACACACTAAATCCCTCTAACTACACACCAGGTACACAGTAAATGCGTGCAAATACACACGGAATCTGTGCAAATACACACACTAAATCCCTGTAATTAGACACCAAATACTGCGTGCAAATACTCACGATCCGTGCAAACACACGCTAAATGCGTATAAATACATGCAAATACACACTAAATTCGTGCAACTACACAGGACGTGAGTGCAAATACGCACCAAATCCGTGCAAATACACACGGAATCCGTGCAAATACATCTAAATCCGTGAATCCGTGCAAATACATACTAAATCCGTGCAAATACACACTGAATCCGTGCAAATACACACTAAATCCGTGCAAATACACAAATCCGTGCAAATACACACTAAATCCGTAAATACGCATTAAAAAAATAGGCTTCAATAAAGGCTTGGCTAATAAAGCTTTTCATGCGGCTCAATTGAGCAGTTGCTGAGTCATGCAATTATAATTCTTCCCCCTAAACCCTCAATCTATAGACCCTAAACCTTCCCCCTAATTCAAATTAGGGTTTAAAGGGCGGTGCTACTTCCGGGTGGATCGGGGGAAAAGTGTTTTTATAATTAGGGATCTCTTTAGTAAATGGGGGAAGGGATTACTCGTGTTTGAAAAACTTCCCCTTCAGACGGAGCTTCCTCTACGCCCACGCGCTCGCGGATTTCACCCAATGTCTCATGCGTCAGTGACTTGAGCTCATGTTGAATGTTTCCGATCCTCTCCCAAAGCTCTCTCATCTGTTTCATCTCCTCTCCTTCACTGTCACTCTCTCCCTCACCTAGATCCCGAGGCTCACTGCTTATCCACGCGGCTAACCGATCTTCGGCGAAAGAGCTCAATCTCAGCTGAGCTTCATCTAGTTGACGAACATACTGCTCACACCTGTCCAACGCGCTCAACTTTTCACGAGGTCTTACTGACAAATCCCCCAAGGAACTTACACATGCCCCAATCTCCGGAATCTTTCCTAAATCCCGTTACAATCATCTGCCTCTGAGTCCTCATGCCAACTTACTACGCTCATGAACTCATCAGCATCATCACGCTCGGAGTCCTCGCCCTCACCCGCGGGTTTAGGCTCATTTTCTCCATCATGCGCATGCTCATGTTCTGGATCCTCGCCCTCAGTTTCGGGCTCTCCAACTTCAAGTTGCAACTTCATGCCTTCGACAAGCGAAAGACACGACGGCTCACGCTCAAACGACCATGCACCTTCATCGTCGTATGCCTCATCTGCCGGGCTCAAGGGGCCACTCACTGGGCTCCCCCCATCCCGGACCTTGGCATCCTCCGACTCAGGCTGCTGACAAAGTACAGGCGAAAAGGATGTTGTTGGGATTATGCTATTTTTATTTGGGTTTTGGGATTTTTGTTCTTTCTCTAGGCACTCCTTTCCTACACGGTTTTTGGAATCGCCTGAAAACTGTGGTGACACGGAAAAAACAGAAGGTTTGGGTTCCTCTCCCCCTTTCGCCGGACTGTCAGGCAGGCGAAACCCACACTCACGGAGCACATGCTTATCATATTTGTTCATGTGTGAAAAGCACCCTACAGTGTACCCCAAGATAACAATGCGACGTTGTGACTTCGGCCAAGACTCCGTAGCGTGCAACCGATGCGGCGAAAAACTGACTGAGGGGTTAACGTCCAACAGCTGTCCTGCGATTTGTTTGCCCTTGTGTTCCAATATCTGAAGTTTGCCAGATACCTCATCACCTGGACCCAGCGCGACCCAAAGTCTACCTCCACGACTCGGCATGACGAGCGAGACGACGTGCGATTGGGACTGAACTTCATTGCAGCTGTCCTTATGCGGAATCGCTGGCGCATCAACCGACAAACACAGTGTGGAGAACGAGGCTTGCGGGCATACCTCCCGCATGATCCTAGACAGCAGCTTCGCAAAACCCTCTCTCTGTTTGGTGAGGCGTGTTAAACCCAATACCCCACCCATCCGAAACGCTCCAACGATGTAATGAGACCCTTCCCTACCACGCGAAGCAGCCGGTCCCGTCCCTAAACGCCCATACGACGAAGCTTCAAGGAACCGCACTGCCGAGTTCAGATCAAAATTGGCCTGGGTAGCAAGCCTCAAGGCTTGCTGATCTTCAAGCCAGCGATCCCTGCCGAAAGCTAGGGTTTTTACCACATGTTTAAACCTGTGTCGCATCGTGGGAGGTTTAGGGGTCTTGGTGCGAAGCCTCCGTCTAATGTGATCCGAACCTACGTGGGGGCCTGCAGGCTCAGCGACAGGTCGGATGGCACTCTCCAACGATACTTTGAGTTTCGACTCTTCACCAAAGTTCAGTTTCGTGACGATACAAAGCTTCTTACCTACAGCTACTACATACCCCTTGCGCACATGAGTGGCAGGACAAAGCACTACAGCGTCAGCAGCATTCAATCTCCAATCTCGTTTGTTTCTGCGAAGCCATGACCGTACAAGCACCTGGACTTTCGTCCCACATGGAATCACGGGCTTTATCTGATAGCCCATGCTTTGCAACACGTTGGCTCGCCACGTCGCCGCTGCAGCTTTAAGCGCTACAGTCCAGCGCAGCTTATCTCCCCCCAACTCTACAATGCTGGCCCTAAATTGTCCTTTTAACCTTCTCACTACGTTTTCGGCCCTACCGTTTGAATCATGTTCTTCCGGCGCGCTGTGAGTGAGAGTGATGTTTCTTGCGGCTGTGTATTCTCGCAGTTCCTCAGTGACAAACTCAGTGCCACTATCTGTATGAATGCGAGTGATCGGAAAGCCCAGTTCGATCAACTGTGCATGGATACGACCGATGCCTAGCAAAGTTGATTTAGGAGTTTTTCTGTCAAGAAGTTCCACGAACACGATTTCCTTCCACCTAAGCTCCGGATCAGGATCGAAGTGTTTGGGTTGCTGTTGTCTAGGGTCTTCTTCACCTGACGCGTCAACCTCCAACTCTATCTCTCCCTCAAATCCCTGATCACTCATCTCTCTCGCATGTTCCCCTTCTGGTTGATCCTGTTCACACGCCTGCTCCGCTTGTGCTCCCACCTTGTCAACCAGCATCTCCTCAACCCACTCCAAATCATCCCAAATCCGGTAAAAGCTCGGGCCCGTAATCTTTATCACCCTCCTTCGCCTGATCCTGCTCCTGTTTGTCTCCCAACACGGGCTTGCCTTGCTTGTCCACTGGAACCGTTAAAACTGCAACCAGTCCGTATCTCCGCTTCTGGCTGATATCATCTGGAGCGGGCAGAAAGGGACCTATCAAGTCTAAACCCAAAACATAGCTTGCCGGCGCCCCTTGTCTCCTATGCGGTCGTTGGCAGGCGGTGGCTAAAATACATGTTCGGCAGCGTCTATGCGGTGGCCAGTGGCCGGCTCTAACATGCTCCGTCATATCGAACGCCTTCATCTTACTAATACACTCTGCCCGTCTAGCGAGGAGTTCTACTCCGCGCCTCCAAGACTCCACCGAGCTAGCTTGCCGAAACCCAGCTTGATCGCAACACTTCTGCAAACCATGTGGCATAGGCCCTACAAGGATGGAGAAAGGCTTCACCTCGGGACACCCCCCCTCAACCACATGGTTGATCTGCATCAGCAGCGTGGTATACAAAGCTGTCAAAGTTTCAGCTTCGCCACAATCTCCCGCGATTATCCCCCGAACCTTCCCAGAGGTAACCACTTCAAGGAGGTACCGAAAATCATGCGGATCAGTGAGTTCTTCCGTGACCTGCAAGATTTCCCATCCTAAAGCTGCGCCGTATTGCTTTATTGCACGCTCCTCCTTACACTTTCCGATCTGGATCAACACTCCCCCGGTCTTCACTACTGCTCTCCGCTTTCTCCTATTCCACATTACCGCATTCGAGTCCTGTCGCGGCCATCTCTGGAGATCCTGAACCAAGTCCTCATCGAGGTTGGGCCACATGGCCCTAGCTGTTGCCCCTGGGTGTGCTGCTACCTCCACTCCTGTGTGAATCGCAACCACCAACCCCAGAGGACCGCCGATTGAAAAAAATCAAGCGCGATTGAAAATTCTCAGCGTTTTGATTGTGTCGATCAAAATCAATAGAAAACGATGTTTTTCAATAGAAATTGAAATCCTCAAAATCAATAGAACTGCGACATAAAAATCAATAGAAACATCCACATCAAAATCAATAGAAAATTTCCATAAAATCAATAGAAATTTTCCATAAAATCAATAGAAATTTTCCATAAAATCAATAGAAATTTTCCATAAAATCAATAGAAATGTTCTATCAAATCAAACGAGAAACACTTCTGACATCAATAGATTTCAGCGCTATCTCTGCCTCCACCACTATATATAATACCTCTCTACCTCGACCTCAACCTGTACCTTTATCCGTATCTCTGCCTGTATATCTCTACCTTTACATCTTTACTTCTTTATCTCTCTATCGCTCTATCTCTCTATCGCTCTACCGCTCTATCGCTCGATCTACCGCTCTACCGCTCGGTCGCTCTATCTCTCTATCTCTCCATCTCTCTATCTCCCTGTCTCTCTATCTCTCCATCTCTACCTGTATTTTTATCTCTATATATCTGTCTCTTTCTTTTTTCTCTTTCTCTATTTCTCTCTTTCTCTTCCCCACCCTTTCCCAGAAGGCTTCCAGCCTAACACTTCTTTTTCACAGCAGCGGCAGGGAATCTTGGGTGAAGCTTCTTTCGAGCTCTCCTTCGAAACTTGGCCTTGTAAAGGCCTCGGAGCCTAACTTTCAAAAACGGCTCCTGGCTACTTGGACTTGGACGTGGAATTGGACTCAGGCATTCCAGCCTAAGACTTCTTTTCCACAGCTGCGGCAGGGAATCTTGGGTGAAGATTCTCTTGAGCTCTTCCTCAAAACTTGGCCCTGGAGGCTTGGAGCTTACCTTTCAAAAAAAAGCTCCGGGCTACTTGGGCTTGGACTTGGTATTGGACACTGGCAGCCCGCATGGCTGCAAGCCGTCCCTGACTCTCGGGTTTTGCTTGATGATCATTTTTTGAATCGGGGACAAAAAATCCCAAACGAGAAGGTGACCCTGCGGAGCTTCCGCTTCAGCTTCCTGTGAGGGGTCGTGGTAAAAGTCGGGCTCCTCTGGCCACTCCTTCATGGCCTGCTCAAAGTCACTCTGAGTGATCGGAGGGTCATACATGCCCAAGACCATCGTTTCCTGGCTCAGGCTCACGTTGTCCGGGCTCTGGTTTGGCCCCTTGGCCATGGTCTCGGCAGCTTGGCAAGCTTGCCAAACGGCTTCCAGACCTGCTTCCGAGCTGTCTTCTTCCTGCAGATCTGTTTCGGCGTAAGGGTTTTAAAGCTGGTTATGACGGTATAGGGGTTCACATCGATCTATCTATCTATATAGATATATACAAAAATCTATATATCGCAATGAAAGAATCCCGCCTCGAGAGCAAAGCAGGTGGCGGCTGCAGGCCTCTTGGCTGTCGTCTCTGCCGGAGTCTCCAAGGTGGCGGCTGGCCTCTTGACTGTCGTCTCTGCCGAAGTCTCCAAGGTGGCGGCTGGCCTCTTGACTGTCGCCTCTGCAGAAGTCTCCAAGGTGGCGGCTGGCCTCTTGGCTGTCGTCTCTGCAGGAGTCTCCAAGGTGGCGGTTTGGCTCTTGGGAGCTTGGCCACTGGAGGTCGTGGAAGTCGCAGGTCTTTTCTTGACGACCTTGACCTTGACGACGGCCTCCTTTTCTGCGAGCTTGGCAGCTGGCTTCTTCGAGACCGGGGCCTGTCGAGGCACAGCCAAAACTTCAAACAACAGACTTAAGCTCGATCAGCTCACAGGCAAGTATCTGGCCTGCCGTGCGGCCGGCTTCTTCTGGCTTCCTACTTTTGCCATCTGAAGAGCCTATAAACTGCAGCTATAGACGGCGACACATGTTTGCAAGCGTCCGGATTATACAGAAAACAAGACATTACGGGCCCCATATTTACAGCATTACTGTTTTTCATGTTTTTGGTTTGCTTCAGATTTGAAGCAACATCACTCGTGCACACGATATCGTTATCCTCATATGCATATTCTTAAATAGGATACTTGTACGTATACCCATACATGTGCTTGTTTCAACTGTCGACGTGACTATAGAGCAGGAGGTGTGACTCACTTCTTGGCTGGTTTAGGCCCGAAGGGCGAGAACACTGCTACTAAGGGGAAGGCGGGGGGGGGGGGGGGGGGGGGGGGCGGCGCCAAAAAAAAAAAACTGGAGGAGGGGGGGGGGGGGGGGGGGGGGGCAGCGCAAAAAAAAAAAAAAACTAAAATCCAAAATCTTTTTTTTTTTTTTTGGCGCTGCCCCCCCCCCCCCCCCCGCCAGATTTTTTTTTTTGGTGGCTGCCCCCCCCCCCCCCCACGGGGACAGCAAGGCAAGCGACAGCCAGCGCCATGGTGCGCCATACTGCTGGAGCGGACACCAACCAAGAGCCACATGATTTAAACCTGGTGTCCTTAGCCCATGCAAGCCTCACTACAAGTGAGTAGATACTCTATGCCGAATATTAAGATCAATAAGATCAACAAGAATCTATAAAAGACCTCAGAGACTTACTGCGTATAGAAAAGTCGATATCTGAGATTACATCTCACAAAGATGATAAACTATTTATGACTGATGACATCATATGACGAGGAGACCTTACATTAACATACATTCGACGGATGCGAACTCACGACACAACCACTGCCTGAGCAATGCCAGGTGGACAACCAGTTGAAGGGTCTGTCGTAGTCAAGCGATAACAACAATGTTTGACGTCGCATATGATGTGGTAGCATATGCGAGGACATATGGTCGGTATATATGTCGGATGTCAGATACATGTATGAGCAGTCTCCTCGATAACATATACAACAAACACTGTCTTCGCCTTTCATTGACAGGTTGCGATGTAAGTATGGGTGCATGAAAACGGGAGTTTGAATATTCCACTTGTGCGATGTTCGAGCAACATGGTGGGCTCTGTCGGGGAGTTTACAACTGGAAATCCTTATTGGTTTATGTTCCTGTGATCAGGATCGGCTACTCGCAGGAATCTGAATATCATTATACCAAAACTGGCTAGATATGGAAACAACATATCTCATGAGCACGTCATGGTGAAGTATCAATCTTCACGTGAACCATGCGCATCATAGTATGATATGGCGTAACACACTCATAAACATGTAGCATGAGGTGCTAGGGAGATGCCATACGAGCTTGGCAAGCTCACGGGATGCACAAGGACATCTACGTCAAATCTCATCTAGAAGATATGTGTCATGAGATGCTGCCTGCATCTTGCGACCTATTCATACCTAGCTGTGACTGTTGTAACTTCATGCGAGATTGGGTTTATGTGTGAGAATAAGTCTCCGGGCTTTTAGAAAGGTTTACCGAGGGGTTTAACCAATATGTGGTGCAATCCCGCTTGCCCGCGCGGCCGGAAGGCGTAAAGGGGGAAGCCCGAACGATGCGCATCTTATAAGGACACCTACTGCGATGATCTATACGGATGGCTCAATATCATAATGATATGTTGAAGAGATTTCCTGGTGCTCTATGTTGATATGGCCATATTCAACACATAACATGCCTTTTACATTGAAGGAATGCGGCGAATATCCTGTTCAACTGCCGATGGGTGCCTCATTATGACGGCTCCATTACTCTTGCCAAAACTGGCATGCAGCTGCCAATGTAATCTGCCATGTTTACATCCACCACAAGAGATACTTGACTTCTTGATCATGTCACATATTAGAAAGTTGGTTTTAGGCATAGTATAGTTCTTATACTTTTGCTTGGGTAACAGGATTTAGTTTACGGAGATATCCATAAGACACACGATGAAGTGCGTCATGGGCTTTAACAAGACCATATTAGAATGGTTGCGGCATACAGGTGCATTGCCTGCAGCATAGATACAACAAGCGGTATTGTTTACAGCTGATGACAATCGTATGTGCGTGTCGGTGTATGTTTGTGTGTGCATGTGCAAATAATGTGTTTTCACGGCAGTCGACCTATGACTAGATGGTATGAGCAACAAGACAGCGAAAATGATTAAT